TAATAATGATAATGATAATACTAGTAGTGGTAGTAATAATGATAATGATAATACTAGTAGTAGTAGTAATAATGATAATGATAATGATAATGATGATAATAATAATGATAATGATAACAGTAATGAAGATGATAATGATAAAATAATGATAGATATAATATCAATAATTATGATAATGATGATGATAATAGTAATAATAATAACAATACTACTACTACTACTACTACTACTACTACTAATAATAATAATGATGATACTAATAACAATGATAATAATTATAATGATTATAACAATGATATTGATAGTAATAAACATGATCACAAAAATAATGATGATAATAAAAAAATAGTAAAAATGGTAACAATAGTGATAAAAAAGAGGTGATAATCATGATAAATAATAATGATGATAACGTATATTTTCTATCCATCTGTCAACATCTATTATATATAATATTTATACTATTATACTATAGTATTAGTATATATATATATATAGATATATATATATATATATATATTATATATATAATATATATATATATATTATATACATATATATATACATACTACTTATACATATATTATCAATATATATATATATATATATATATATATATATATATATATATATTATATATATATATATATATATGTATGTGTGGTGTGTCTATATATATGTATATATATGTATATATATGTATTATATGATACATATATATATATTATTATATCATTAACTGCTAATATCATATTATATACATTATTTACATACTGATAGAAGAGTATAGTGAGTAATAGTAGAGAGTAAGTAAAATATATAGTATATAGTAGAGATGATAGTAATATAATATAGAGATAGTATAATCCACGAGATAACATTAATATCATAACATACATCATACAGATACTAACATACATTTAGCGAATCATAACTAGATAGTAAGATAGTAATAGTATATATATATGTAATTGAATATTATATCTAATATGAGTAGTGAATGATAGATATATATGAATATACATACAGTTAACAGTACAATAGACATACGCTACAATAACAATATATAGAGTATAGATAATATGATAGATGAGTATGAGAAGATAGAAGTAGGAAAGGTATAAATATGGTAATAAAAAAGTCACGTATAGATATCAGTATAGGTATAATGACAAAGGAGTAGTCTAGAGATATTATATTAGGTATAGTAGGTAATATTAATAAAATATATGAACGAGAGGATAGGAAGGTAAGTAAAGATAAGCAACAGCGGACACATATATTTGAATGTTTGTGTGTGTGTGATGTATGTGTGGTGTGTGTGTTGTGTGTGTGTTGTGTGTGTACACACACACAGCACACACACACACACCACACACACAGCCACAACATATATATATTATTATATAAATATAGTATATATATATAAGATATATAGAATATAGAGATAGTAAGATAGTAACGAGAGTATAATATAGAGTATAGTAATGATAAAGTGACGAGCAGCAGACGCAGCACAAGCAGCACACGAGCGCAAGCACAGAGAGCACGAACACACAACACACACAAGCAGCACACAACACAGCACACACCAACCACACACCAAGCGAGGCAGACGAGCACACACACAACACATATATATATGAGTAGTAAGTAATAAGATAAGAGAGAGATATAATAGAGTGAATAATGAGAGAGATGAGATAGGAGAAGATAGATATATATATTAATTTATTAGTAAGTTGTGATTTAGTGTATGAAATTGAAGATTTTTTTATTTTATGATAGTATATATAATATATATATATTATATATATAGTATAGTAGTATAAAGTAGAGTGAATAGAATATTATATATATATATATAGATTATATAGTATATATACACACACAGCACACGAAACACACACGTACACACACACACACAACACACAGCACGAACAGGAGGACGAGCACAGCACGACACACCACCAATTACAGAGACACACACACACACCACAGCACACACCTTCACACACCACAACCAACACGACACAACAACACCACACAACACACGAGCAGACGAGTATAAGATCCTATTAAGCTAGAGGTTATGAAACTATACATAATAATGACCAGGCTATTTATATAGACTTATGTAGCCGCTCATATAATGCTCAAAGGTAGTGGAAATAGTACTAATGAGAAGATGATGAGATAGACATAGTATAGTGTAAAGAAAGAATAGCTCAAGGATATAAAGATATACTATGTAAATATAATAAATAAGAATAAGATGATAATGGAATAGACGTATTATAACAATATATTAAAATATAGTATAGAATAAGAGGAGGAGAAAGCTAAGTATAATATAGATAATAATAGAAGAAATATAGATATGTAAAAATGAGTATAAGTAGATAGAATATAGGTATATAGATAGAGTGGAATAAAATATATAGGTAGATAATTATAATATATATATATATTATATATTATAATTTATAATTATCTCATACATATATACATATACGTATATATTTGTAGATATCCACACACACACACACACACACACACACACACACCACACACACACACACACACACACACACACACACACACACACACACACAACACACACACACACACACACACACATATACATATATATATAATAATATATATATATACATATATATATATATATATATATATATATATATATATATATATATATATATATATATATATATATATATATATATATATATATATATATATATATATATATATATTATATATAATATATATATATATATATATTATATATATTATAATATATATATATATATATATATATATATATATACAGAATTATATAGATAGATTGACAGGTAAACAGAGAGATAAATAGTTTTGTATATATACACACACACATATGTGTTTGTGTCTGTATATTTCTTTTTTATTTTTTTTTCTACACAGCCTCAGCAATTCCTGAAGTCGTACTTTCTTTAATTAGTGCGAAGAAGCAAAACACATTATTAATTAAGGTCCAGAGTATGTCTCACAGAACATGTCAAGGTACCTGTCATATGCAAATCTAAAAGGGGGAAAACATACGTAGACTTCGGTTCTTATTCGAGTTTCACTAAAAATATGAAAATCTAGTAGTCTGACTTGCACGATTATATATATATTTTTCTTCTTCTAGAGTTTTTTTTTCTTATTTTTCGATATGTGAAAAGTGGTTGCTATGGGAACGTGCAGCCATTGACAAAATCGGAACCGCTGTCTCATTAAAATCATACTTTATTTTCCAGTTTTCAATCCCCTTTTCATCTTGCCAAAAGCAAATTTCTTACTTTCGTTGTGTCGTTCCCAACTGCATAATTAACACGTTCCCGAGAGCACTTCTACTTTAAACATTCCACAATGGGTGTTCGACCAAAATGCCATTGTAAAAATTGTAAAACTCCGGACAATGCATTATTAGTGTAAATCACTTACCTATTACTAATTAGCTAATACCGTTAACCAGAGATTAGAGTCCCAGCTTCGGCGCAGGTCTAACTACGGGTCATTTACACTGTCAACGCATCAGTCTGTTAAACTGGAGGAAGCGCAGAAAATTGTCGATTAAAGCGATTCCACGCCGGATAAAGTATCATAAAGTAACGGAAAGTCATTTAATGTGATTCTAAATAGGTTGCTCACGGTCTTTCTCTTTTCTTCTTTTTTTTTTTCCTTTTTTGTTCTATGTATCTCTCGGTTTCTGCGTGATCGTGTGTCTTTATCTGTTTTGTTTCTCTCTTCCTTTTTATCTTCCTTTATCGTTCCTCCCTCGCGCTCTCAACATGCATTGTTTCTCTTCTGTCTTTTTGCCCCCCCCCCCGTCTCTCTTTCTTTTCTGTCTCTCTTTCTTTCTCTCTCCCCCGCCCCCGCTCTCTTTCTTTCTCCCCTTCCCTGTGTTTCCCTCTGCCCTTCTCCTTCTTTCTCTTTCCCTCCATCTCTTATCGCCCATGTCCCTCTTTTGTCTCCTTTCCCTCTACCATGCCTCTTTTCCTATTCTCCCTCACCTACCTCTCTTCTCCCTTACTCATCCCTCTTTCTACCCCCTTTCTCTCTCTCTCCTCTACCTCCCTCCTTTCCTCAGCCCGGAATCTCTTCCCCTCCAGTACTTACATTTCACAAACAGCTGAGTGCGAGCGGAAACAGCTGGGGGGACGCCGTTGGTGGCCACGCACAGGAAGGCCCCAGCAGCATCGCGAGTGACGGGGGCGAGAGTAAGCCGGGCACCAGATGCAGCATCCACCACTGTGCGGGGAGATAAAGAGAGGGAGATATAGATGATGCTGTCTGTCTGTGTGGGCGTTGGGGTGGCGGTGGGAGTGGCGGGGGTGGGCGGTGGGCGGGGTGGGCGAGAAGGATGAGGAGGAGTGGAGAGTATTTTGTGCGAGGAGGGAAGGGAATATTTTAGGAGTTTTATTTCGTGTGCGTAACTAATGTGTCTACGTGTTTGCGTTGCGTATGCGTGTGTGCGAGTGCGCGTATATCTGCATATACGCACATGAACAGATAAATACATATAAACACACACGCGTATAGATAGATAGAGAGATATATATACACACATCTAATCATATTTACACAGCACGTTATCTATATCAAGAGCGCAAGGCACGCAGCCTCACAAACGGCCGAAACTGAAGCTTATAATTAGCATTTTCTTTTCTAAAACTAAGCAGCATTTTGACGGACGAGAACCGGCGCCGCACCGATAATGTCTGGACTTTAATAACTTGAGAAGGAAGTTGTGAGATCGAAGAGGTCGAGGCGGTGAGGTGATTTGTGATGATGATGAGGGGGTGAGGGGGATGCTAATGGTGATGGGGAAGGGGATCAGGGTTGTGATGATTGTGATGATGGTGTTGCTAATGCTGGTGGTGAAGGGGGTCAGGATTGTGATGACTGTGATGATGGTGTTGCTAATGCTGGTGGAGTAGAGGGTCAGGGTGATGGTGACGGATGATGATGGTTGTGATGGTGAAGCTAATGATGGGGGTCAGGGTGATGGTGGTGCTCATGGTGACGAGGAATGGGATCAGAATGTTGGTGGTTGTACTGATGGTGAAGCTATTGGTGGCGGGAAAGGTGGTGACTGTAATGATGGTGATGATGGTGGCGATTCTGATGATAGCGGCGAGGGAGATCAGGATAGTGTTTATGAGGACAGCGATGTGACTATGAGGATAGTGATGATGACGATGCTAATGGTGGCGGCAAAGGGGATAAAGATGATAGTGACTGTGATGATGGTGACTGATGAGGAGGCGTTGTAAAAGTCATGATGAGGAAAAGATAAGGGCGATAATTCACGTCAACTACCACACCTTATGTGTCTTAACTGGTGTTGATAGTGATGACTGTGATAGTGATGAAGGTGATTAAGATGATGATGACCGATGAGTAGGTAAAAAATAGTGATGGTGATGACTAATTTATCAGCATAATCACAGCGGCTTTGATATCATCTGGATAGCCTGACCTTCATAAAAAAAAAAACAGAAGAAAGTATAAAAAAGATGGAAAAAAAATGAGAAAACGCGAAGAGAAAAAGAGGAAAAAGAGGGAAAGGAGGATAAAGAAAAATAATATAGGAGGAAAAATGAAAGTAATAAAAGATAAAAAAAAAAAAAAAAAAAAAACATTAAGAATACTAGGAGAAAAAAAGGAATATTGAATATTATGAAAAATAAAAATGATACAAAAAGAATACGAGAAAAAGTGATAAAATGATAAAAAAGGAAGAATTTGAAATGTCTTCGTAATACATTTAAAATGGAAGGAGCTACGGAAAGGGAAATGTGAAAAAAAAGAAAATTTACGGAAAAGAGGATTAAAAGTAATACCAAAAAGATGGGTAATGTTTTATACAAAAGTTAAAGGTAAGCAAAAAGGAATATGAAAAACAAATCAAAAATGATAATAACAATAAGAAAAAAAAACATATAAACAAAGGCAAGGGAGAAGTAAAGATAGAAATTCATATAAAATAAAGAGAGAAAAGAAAAGGAAAATAAAGAATGAATAAATAAGCATTGCAGACAAAAAAAAAAAATAATAATAATAATAAAGTAAATAAATAAAAATTAAATAAAAACAAGAAAACAAAAACAACAAGCGACCTGAAAAAAAAACAAATTCCTCCAAAAAAAAGACAATTAAAACGGAGACTGAAACGAACCCCGCTTTGCAGACGAAAACAACTCATCTTCCATCACACTTACGGCACTAAAACTGACTTACATTAGTATTCCTCATAAATTTTAATATTCATGAGTAACAAACACATCACCCGGCATAACGACTGAGCGCAGAAGGAATTTTTAAATCTTTTAAGAATCTAATTACGAGTAAAATATGATAAAGCTGGTTGGACGAATCTTTCCTTTTTTTAATTCCTTTTCTAGCTCTCTCTCTCTCTCTCCATCCTACCCTCTCTCTCTCTCTCTTTCTCTATCTATCTCTCCTCTCTCTTTCCCTATCTACTAACCCCCCACCTCTCTCTGTCTCTGTCTGCCTGTCTGTCTGTCTGTCTGTCTGTTTGTCTGTCTGTCTGTCTGTCTCTCTCTCTCTCTTTCTTTCTCTCTCTCTCTCTTTCTCTTCCTCTCCTACTCAATGTTTGAAAGCAGAATAAAGAGAAACGGCGTTTTAACAATATATACTAGGAAATAAAGTAAATTCCTGCTATCAAAGTATTGTATTTTCTTCTAGTTGCTTTATTGTTACTCATTTCTGGATCCCTGTCTACCAAGCATGAAGGGGAAATCATTGAATAATAATCTCATCTTTCAATTTACAGCATTTATACGGCCAGTTTGTTAAAAAATATGCGAGGCTCAGCCCAAAGAATTTTCGTATACTTGACATGCATAAATATAGAAATAAATGCATATTTAGACATGCATATCAACCGGGCAAATTGATATATAAATGTATATCAATCAGATATATAGACAGATATTCATTTATTTCTGTGTATATACATGTCTGTATTTATGGATATTCATTGGGTTTGGTCTCTCAGTCAGATATATAGACAGATATGCATTTATTTCTGTGTCTATGCATGTCTTTATTTACGAATATTCATTGGGTTTGGTCTCTCAATTAGAAATATAGACAGATATGCATTTATTTCTGTATATAACCATGTCTGTATTTACGAATATCCATTGGGTCGGGTCTCGCACAATAGCAAGCCGGCTGATAGTCTGTAATTTGATCAGCGAAAATCGTCTCTTTACCTATTTCATGAATTTTAAATATGTATTTATTTTTTTCTTCTTGTTATTATTATTTTTACTACATGCTTTATTTCATTCCTGTTTAAACTCCATCTATTTTCTTTAGCAACGAACCTCCGGCTGCGTCTTACCCTGTGAGCGGTTGAGAGAGAAGGACGCGCCGTCCTCCCTCCTCCAAGTCAGGGTGGGCTCTGGATCTCCGTTGGCGCTGCACTCAAGGGTGACGCTCTCGCCCTCGTTGGCTATGACGTCATTCGGGGGCGATGGGATGATTGGCGGAACTGGGGAGTGGGATTAAAACCGGGTGGCGTTACAGAGATTACGGGAGAGAGAAACAAAAAATAATGAAATCATTTTATCTGAATATGCTACTGGAGATTATTCCTAAAAATAAAGAAAAGAAAAGAAAAAGAAAAAAAAAAAGGTTGAATAATTAAAATTGAATAGAAACGACAAACGGCAATAAAAATGAGAACGATAATGCTAATAATAAGGATACAAAATGCATATGAAGTCATGAAGCTGACATGCCCATCCAGGCTGTATATTCCCAATATAGGTAGAGGGACAATAAGACCTGTTTCCTAAATCGTCGAAAGCAGGGTAAATAGGGTTTGATTAGCTGTGCGTGCTTGCTAATTCCCTAATATGGCCATAACGATCTTCTAAACGAATAATTGAGGTGGGTTGCCAATGCGCGATAAATATACATCCCGCTCTAACAGTCAGGGGAAGGAAACATGAATAACTAAACTGTCACAAAATTTTGTTCATTTCAGGCAAAAAGAGAACCGATAATAGGGTGATAATGAGAATAATAATAATGAGAATAATAATATTGATGATGATACTGATGAGAATAATAATAGTGATAATAATAATGATGAAAATGATAATGATAATCTTTATTATGATAAAAATAACGATGATGAGGATAATATTGACAATGACAATAATAATATTAATAATGATAGTAATAATCATAATAACAATGGTAATAATCATATTATTGACACTGATAATAATAATATTGTAATAATGATCATAATAATATCAAGGATAATGATAATAGTAATAACAATAGCGATAATGGTGGTATTAATGATAATAATAATGGTAATAATAATAATGACACTAATGATAAGGATATTAATAATAATGATAATGATTATGATAATGATGATAATAAGAATAATAGTAATAACAGTGATAATAATATGCATGATAATGACAATAATAATGATGGTAATAATACTAATAATAGTAGTAATAAAAATTATAATAAAATAAGAAATGATAACGATAGTAATAACAACAATAATGATAAACATAATAATAATAAATAATAATAATAATATAATAATAATGATAATGATAATAATAATGATAATAATAATAATAATAATAATAATAATAATAATAATAATAATAACAATAATGAAAATAATAAAATGATAATGATAATGTTGAGTATATCTATAAAGTGAACGATGAAAATTATTATCATAATAATAATAATAATAATAATAATAATAATAATAATAATAATAATATTGATAATAATAATAACAATAATAATAATAATATTAATAATAATAATAATAATAATAATAATAATAATAATAGTAACAATTGTAATACTAACAACCCCCAAAAAATGGAAAAAACGAAACCACATCAAAGGGAAAAATAACGTAATCAGACCTAGCGCAAAACCACTCACCCACGACAGAAATATGCGTATACATCTTCTGTTGCGGGACCGTGTTGATTTGGCACACGTAATCCCCCTGGTCGAGTTTGGACACGTTGGCGATGACTAAGGACCAGGACAGGCCACCTCGTTCGCGTAGGACCGACACGCGCTGATTCTGGGTCAGCACTACGGAGTTTATGGTCAGCACCGCCGTCCCGGTCTTGCCGACGTATGTCCAGGCCACCTGTGGGTCGGGGAAGGGGAGGTGAGGGAGAGGGGGAAGGAGGCGAGGTCGTCCTAGGGAGGATTTAGGTGTGTGTGTGTGTGTGTTTATACATACACACATACACACGCACAGACACAGATATATATATATATATATATATATATTATATATATATATATATATATATATATATATATATATATATATATATATATATTATGTATGATGTATGTATGTATGTATGTATATGTGTGTGTATTATATATATATATATTATATATATATATATATATTATATATATATATATATGTGTGTGTGTGTGTGTGTGTGTGTGTGTGTGTGTGTGTGTGTGTGTGTGTGTGTGTGTGTGTGTGTGTGTGTATACATACATATATATATATATATATATATATATATATATATATATATATATATATATATATATATATATAATATATAATATATATATATAAATTTATATATATATTTATATCTATCTATCTATATATATCTATATATACATATATATATTTATTTATATCTTTATATTCTTTATACACAAATTTATACATACCTTAGACACACACATAAACATACACATCCACATATCCTCATCCCAATCTTTATATCATTATTCCCTTCTGTCATCGGCACTTGCCTTATTGTCACCGAGGTTCTCCACCACACACGAGAGCCGAGCATCACGACCAGCTGCTACTGTGATGTTCTGGATGGGAGCCGCGAACTGGGGCATCGAACCTCCTGGGGAAGGCAGGTGAAGGTTGTTTACTCTAGGTGGTAGTGAGAAGGGGGGGGGGTTGGGAACGATGATGATAGTGATGAAAATGATGATGGTGTTTGTTGTTGGTGGTGTTATTAGTCGTGGTTACTATTATTTTTGTAATAGTAATAACAGTAACTGCAGCAATGATGGTAATAATAATATTATTATTATTTTCATTGTCATCAGTAGTGAAAGGTTAATCATTAGTGCTTGCATCAGTTATTATTATATCAATTACAATCATTATCATCATTGTTATCGTTATCGTGCTCATTAAACAGGAATTAAATAAAGCATGTAGTCGAAAAAAAAAATGAATACATAT